ACTCACACAGATAATCCCATAGGCTCCCACAGAGACCCATAGACTCCCACAGAGACCCACACAACTCACAAAGAGACCCACAGACTCACACAGAGACCCATAGACTGACACGGAGAGTCCCATAGACTCCCACAGAGACCCATACAACTCACAAAGAGACCCACAAACTCACACAGAGACCCATAGACTGACACGGAGAGTCCCATAGACTCCCACAGAGACCCATACAACTCACAAAGAGACCCACAGACTCACCACACAGAGAACCCACAGACTCCCACAGAGACCTACAAAACTCACAAAGAGACCCACAGAGACTCCACACAGAGACTCACCACACAGAGACCCACACAACTCACACAGAGACCTACAGACTCACACAGAGAACCACAGACTCACCACACAGACAACCCACAGACTCACCAGACAGAGACCCACAGAGACTCACCACACAGAGAATCCACAAACTCACAGAGGACAACACCAATCTAAACCAGGTGGTTGTCTCCGTGCTGTGTGTCGCGTCTCCCGCCCGCTCACCACCACCCCACCACCACCACTACCACCACTACCACCACCACGACTACCACTACTACTACACCACCACCACCCCACTACCACCACTACCACTACTACCACCACCACCACCACGACTACCACCACTACTACACCACCACCACCCAACCACCACTACCACTACTATCACCACCACCACAACGACTACCAACACTCCTACCCCACCACCACCACCCCACTACGACCACCACCACTACCACCACCACCACTACCACAACTACCACCACCACCCCACCACTACTACCACCACCACCACGACTACCACCACCACTCTACCACCACTACCACCACGACTACCACCACTGCCAAAACTACCAACACCACCACTACCACCACCACCCCACCACCACCACCACAACTACCAACACCACCACTACCACCACTACCACCACCACCACGACTATCACTACTACCACCACTACCACCACCACCACGACTACCATCACTACCACCACTACCACCACCACCACCCCACTACCACCACCACCACCACGACTACCACTACTACCACCACTACCACCACCACTACCACTACTACCACTACCACCACCACTACCACCACCACGACCCCCCCGTGCCCCAGGCCGCCTGCTGGACGTGCCGTGCCGCGTGTGCGGTGACCGCTCCTCGGGCCGCCATTACGGCGTCTTCGCCTGCGACGGCTGCTCCGGCTTCTTCAAGAGGAGCATCCGGAGGAACCGCGCCTACGTCTGTAAGGCCTCCAGTCAGGTAGGGTGCGGTGGTGGTGGTGGGGGGGGTGGTGGGGGTGGTGGTGGGTGGGGGTGGCGGGGGTGGTGGTGGTAGTGGTGGGTGGTGGGGGTGGTGGTGGTAGTAGTGGGGGTGCTGGTGGTGTTGGTGGGTGGCGGTGGTGGGTGGTGGTGGGGTGGTGGTAGTAGTGGTGGTGGGGGTGCTGGTGGTGGGAGTGGTGGTGTGGTGGGGGTAGTAGTGGTAGTGGTGGTGGAGTGCTGGTGGTGGGGTAGTGGTAGTGGTGGTGGGGGTGCTGTTGGTGATGGTGGGTGGTGGTGGTAGTAGTAGTGGTGGAGTGGTGGCGGGGGTGGCGGTGGGGGTGGTGGAGTGGTAGTAGTGGTAGTGGTGGGTGGCAGTGGTGGTGGTAGTAGTAGTGGTGGTGGTAGTAGTGGTGGGGGTGGTGGAGTGGCGGTGGTGGAGTGGTGGTGGTGGTAGTGGTGGTGGGGGTGGTGTTGGTGGGTGGCAGTGGTGGTGGTGGTAGTAGTGGTGGTGGAGTGCTGGTGGTGGGGTAGTGGTAGTAGTGGGGGTGGTGGAGGTGGTAGGTGGTGTGGTGGTGGCGGGGGTGGCGGTGGGGGTGGTGGAGTGGTGGTGGGGTAGTGGTAGTGGGGCAGTCGTGGTGGTGGTAGTGGTGGTGGATTGCTGGTGGTGGGGTGGTGGTAGTAGTGGTAGTGGGTGGTGGGGGTGGTGGTGGTGTGGTGGTGCTGGAGTGGGTGGTGGTGGTAGTGGTGGTGGGTGGTGGTGGCAGTGGTGGTGAGTGGTGGGGGTGGTGTGGTGGTGTTGGAGTGGTGGTGGTAGTGGTGGTGGGTGGTGGTGGTAGTGGTGGTAGTGGTGGTGGTGGTAGTGGTGGTAGTGGTGGTGGTTGTGGTGGGTGGTGGTGGTAGTGGTGGTAGTGGTGATGGAGTGCTGGTGGTGGTAGTAGTGGTGGTGGGGGTGCTGGTGGTGGTAGTGGTGGTAGTAGTGGTCGTGGTAGTGGTGGTGGAGTGCTGGTGGTGGGGTGGTGGTAGTAGTGGTAGTGGGGGTGCTGGTGGTGGTGGGTGGTGTGGTGTGGTGGTGGGGGTGGTGGTAGAGTGGTGGTGGAGTGGTAGTGGTGGTGGTAGTAGTAGTGGTGGTGGTGTGGTGGTGGAGTGGTGGTGTGGGAGTGGTGGTAGTGGTAGTAGTGGTGGTAGTGGTAGTGGTGGTGTTGGAGTGGTAGTGGTGGTGGTAGTGGTGGTGGTGGTAGCTGATGGGATGTCCGCGTGGTTTGTTCCTGCAAACTGAAACTCGAACCTGTTTAATGCTTCACCGAGTCAGGGCCAATTGAGCTCGGAATCTCCGTTTCAAGGGCTGCTCACTTCCCCTTCAGATACAATCAGAAATGTTGAAATAAAAACTCTTCTTGTTCCGATCGTAATTATTTATTTACTAATCACCCCTCTCACTCTGCTCAGTCGGCAGAGTGAGAGGGGTGGCGAGGAGTTGTTAACTACCTCGCCTGGTCCACAGGAGGTCGTGGGTTCGATCCCGACCCTGACGATGCCTGATGCTGTAGATTTGGAGTTTGCGTCTCTCTCTCACCGTATTCGTGTGGATTTTTCTCCGGGTTCTCCGCTTACCCCCCTCCACGTTTAGTTTCAAGTTTCAAGTTCATTTATTTGGTGTAGCCCTGTGAGCCATTCGGCTCTTGAATCGGGTGCAACCGCAACAAACAAAAAACTAAAACAATGATCAAGAAAACATCTTAAAGTGAATATGTGACTATGTGCAAATAGAAAATCCAAGAAAAGGCAGCAAAATATTGCAGAAAAAACACCGTACATCAACGCTGTGTGCAAAAATCCCAGTGGGATGCAAGTCAAACATCAGTCTAACTCCGTACTACAACAAACAAACATGGCCAAACCAGTAAACTTTTCGAAATCACCAAAAGAAAGCAATGAAACAGTGATCATAGGAACTGTGACGGAATTTTCACAATAAACGACAAACAACATGTACTACCAAAAACCTGCAGCCATAGAATCAACGTCACCACGCGTTCAGAGTATTTGGCTGCTGCTATAAATGTCCACGTGATTATGACGTCAATGATGACGTCGATGATGACGACGATCCCACGTGGTGGAGCTGCGATCGTTTGTGATAGCCAGGGCCGCTGCTACAGAGCAGCTCACCAAAACAAAGATGCCCCGTATAGCCTGTAACAGACTGCCGGGACAAGTGCTGTTCGCGTGACGTTGATTCTAAATGTGGGAGGGATAAAACCAGAGGATCCGGAGAAAAATCCACGCGGCCACTGGGAGAGAGAAGAGAGAGACGCAAACTCCAAATCTACAGCAGCAGGCATCGTCAGGGTCAGGATCGAACCCACGACCTCCTGCACACCAGGCGAGGTAGTTAACATCTCCTATCCACCGTGATGATGATGAGAGAGAGACGCAGACTCCAAATCTACAGCAGCAGGCATCGTCAGGGTCGGTATCGAACCCACGACCTCCTGCACACCAGGCGATGTAGTTAACATCTCCTAGCCACCGCGGCGTTCCCTTGGCCGAGAGGTCACTCACCCACGCGCGGTGTCGTCGTCGTTGTTGTTGACACTGGGCGCTGTTGTTGCTGTTGTTGTTGTTGACTCTATTTGTGTGTGCGCCACCGATCACCGACGCAATCCTTGACACGGGCAGTTGCAGAGCTGCACCTTTACCTTTGTCCGCTGGGTGTGATGTGACCCCGCCCATCACCCCTCCCCCATCACCCCCCCACCCCCCACCACCCATCACCCCCTCCCCCATCACCCCCTCATCACTCCCCCCCATCACCCCCCCCCCCATCACTCCCCCCATCACCCCCCCCATCACCCCCCCCATCAACCCCCATCACCCCCCACCCCCCCATCACCCCCCATCACCCCCCCATCACCCCCCATCACCCCCCCATCATCCCCCCACCACCTCCCGTCACCCCCTCATCACTCCCCCCCCATCACCCCTCACCACCCCTCCCCCATCCCCCCCACCCCCCCATCACCCCCCACCACCCCCATCACTCTCCATCACCCCACCCACCACCCCCCACCACCCCCCACCACCACCGCCATCACCCCCACCACCCCCCCCCCGCCACCCCCCCACCACCCCCCCACCACCACCCCCCACCCCCCCACCACCACCCCCCCCCCTGCGAGCCTGCAGGGCGGCTGCCCCGTGGACAAGAGTCACCGCAACCAGTGCCGCGCCTGCCGCCTGCACAAGTGCCTGGCAGCCAGCATGAACAGGGACGGTGAGGACGTGGTGGTGGTGGTGGCGGTGGTGGTGGCGGTGGTGGTGGCGGTGGAGGTGGCGGTGGTGGTGGCGGCGGTGGTGGTGGTGGAGGTGGTGGTGGAGGTGGTGGCAGTGGTGGTGGTGGAGGTGGTGGTGGAGGTGGTGGCAGTGGTGGTGGAGGTGGTGGTGATGGTGGTAGCGGTGGTGGTGGTGGTTGCGGAGGTGGTAGCGGTGGGGGTGGTGGAGGTGGTGGCAGTGGTGGTGGCGGTGGCAGTGGCGGTGGCGGTGGTGGTGGCGGCGGTGGTGGTGGTGGTGGTTGCGGAGGTGGTGGTGGTGGAGGCCGTGGTGGTGGTGGTGGTGGTGGAGGTGGTGGTGGAGGTGGTGGTGGAGGTGGTGGTGGTGGTGGAGGTGGTGGTGGAGAGGTGGTGGTGGTGGTGGAGGTGGTGGTCGTGGTGGTGGTGGTGGTGGTGGTGGAGGTGGTGGTGGAGGTGGTGGTGGAGGTGGTGGAGGTGGTGGTCGTGGTGGTGGTGGACGTGGCGGTGGTGGTGGTGGCGGTGATGGCGGTGGTGGAGGTGGCGGTGGTGGCGGTGGTGGCCGTGGTGGTGGTGGCGGTGGTGGTGGACGTGGTGGTGGAGGTGGTGGTGGCGGAGGTGGTGGCAGTGGTGGTGGAAGTGGTGGTGGAGGTGGGGGTGGTGGAGGTGGTGATGGTGGTTGTGGAGGTGGTGGCGGTGGTGGTGGTGGCGGTGGTGGCGGTGGTGGAGTTGGCGGTGGTAGCGGTGGTGGCCGTGGTGGTGGTGGCGGTGGTGGTGGCGGTGGCCGTGGTGGCGGTGGTGGTAGTGGTGGTGGAGGTGGTGGCGGCGGTGGTGGACGTGGTGGTGGTGGCGGTGGTGGTGGCCGTGGTGGCGATGGTGGTAGTGGTGGTGGTGGTGGTGGAGGTGGTGGTGGTGGCGGTGGTGGTGGCCGTGGTGGCGATGGTGGTAGTGGTGGTGGAGGTGGTGGTGGTGGAGGTGGAAGTGGTGGTGGTGGCCGTGGTGGTGGTAGTGGCCGTAGTGGTGGCCGTGGTGGTGGAGCGCCCTCTCGTGGTGAGAGGCAGGGAGGCAGGGGTGGGGTAGGGAGAGATGGGGAGGCAGGGGGAGGGTCAAGCATTCTAAGTGCACCGGAGCGTAGCTTGTTAACCTGTCCGCGCGTTGTGTTGTGAGCCGCTGTGATGCCCCACCCAGCTCCGTGTCTCTCGTTCAGAAGCGACCTTGCCCATCGCGACCTCAGTTTCTCCTCGTCGCCATTCGTTCTCATCGCGTGGACATTTTATAGCAGCAGCAGCCAAAAAAAATTAACCCGTAAAAACAAAGTTTTTCACTATAAATCCTTTATATGCGTGGCGGCTAGAGTCCTCTCGTCCTCTGGCTTGAGATGGCTGCCACCTATGGGTCAGATGATTGTCTGCCACCATGAAGCAATTGGTAATTAAATGTTTTTTATTTCCCTAAACAGTGTAAAAGTTTTGAAAAAAAAATTTCACGAAAATTAATTGTCACGCACAACGAGTCGGTGTGGAAAATGTCAGCTCGATTGGATCACGGGAAGTGGGTTAAAAAACGACCGAAAGATTTGCACGGTCGTAAGCAAGCAAGCAAGCACGCAAGCAAGCGAACTTAATATAAAGGATTTAAAAACAACTCCCTAAATGCGCGGTGACGTTGATTCTAAACGTGGAAAGGGGACAAATAGGAGGAATCCTTAAAGAAAAATCCACTCGGCCACAGCGAGAGACTTTTGACTTTTTAAACAACTTTTCATTGCCGCTAGCAGCAACAGCACTGGAGGCGATTCCCATACGAAACACACAAAGTCACCAGCAAACAAATGAAAATAAACGCTACAAATCCAGAGAGTTTGAGAGAGAGAGAAAGTGGGAGAGAGAGAGTTAGAAAAGGGAGAGTGAGCGTTGAAAGAGAGCGTTGAGGGGAGAGTGGGAGAGTGTGATTTCGCGAGAGAGTTAGAGAGATATAGAGAGTTGGAGAGCGTTAAAGAGACTTTTGACTTTTAAACAACTTTTTATTGCCGCCAGCAGCAACAGCATTGGAGGCGATTCCGATACGAAACACACAAAGTCACCAGCAAACAAATAAAAAAACGCTACGAATCCACGCGCTGTGGCGCTAAATGCGCCGCGCACAACACGAAAGAAAAGCCACGTGGTGGTGGTGGTGGTCATCGCGCACGCCACGGTGACGAGCGAGCGCTTCAGAAGGCGAACACGAGGGTGCCGTCCACGCTGGTACAGAGAGGGGCTTTTCCGGCTCCCCAGCGTTCGAAGAAGACGCGCTGCACATCACCGACACGTGTGTGGTACGCGTGCTCCAGCCGGAGCCGCGCCTTGAGCAGGCCCCTAAACACAGCGAGAGAGAGACGCAAACTCCAAATATACAGAAGCAGGCATCGTCAGAATCAGGATCGAACCCACGACCTCCTGTATACCAGGCGACGTAGTTAACATCTCCTAGCCCCCGTGATGATGAGAGCGAGAGACGCAAACTCCAAATATACAGCAGCAGGCATCGTCAGAATCGGCATCGAACCCACGACCTCCTGCATATCAGGCGATGTAGTTAACATCTCCTAGCCACCGTGATGATGATGAGAAAGAGAGACACAAACTCCAAATCTACAGCAGCGGGCATCGTCAGAATTGGAATCGAACCCACGACCTCCTGCATATCAGGCGAGGTAGTTAACATCTCCTAGCCACCATGGCGAGATGTTAAATAAATTGGTGTACTAAGTACACCCATAACAAGCTTGGGCAAGGCAGCAAAACGACACCAACCCACAACAACAATCAGAATATTTTAGAATCGGAATCGTTATTTATTTATATATCCCCCCTCTCCCCCCCTCCCCCTCCCGCTCTATTCCCATCACGGACAGCCGTGCAGCACGAAAGGGGCCCGCGGACATCGACCATCCGCAAGCAGGTAGCGCTCTACTTTCGAGGGACGCAATTTCACCACCACCACCAGCAGCAGCAGCAGCACCTCCACCACCACCACCAGCACCACCACCACCAACAACAGCAACAGCAGCAGCAGGCTGGGGTGGTGTCGGTGGTCGGAATGGCCCTGAGCTCGTCACCCGCAGCACGGACACCGCGGAATCCTGAAGGTGGCACCACCACCACCACCACAACCGCCACCACCACCACCACCGCCACCACCGTTACCGCTACCACCACCGCTACCGCTGCTGTGAGCCGCGTCTCGCCGACGGGAGCTATCGGCTTCTACTCGCACGGCGGGAGCGGCGATGGGGTCGGAGCTCGAGGCGATGGCAAGGTGAGTGCTACCAGCCACTACCACCCACTACCACCCACTACCAGCCACTACCACCCATTACCACCCACTACCACCCACTACCACCCACCACTCACCACCCACTACCACCCACCACTACCATCCACTACCACCCATTTCCACCCACCACTCACCACCCACCACCCACTACCATCCACTACCAACCACCAACCACGCACTACCACCCACCACTTACCACCCACTACCACCCACTACTACCACCCACTGCCACCCACCACTCACCACCCACTACCACCCACTACCAACCACCAACCACGCACTACCACCCACCACTTACCACCCACTACCACCCACCACTACCACCCACTACCACCCACCACTCACCACCCACTACCACCCACTACCACCCACCACCCACTACCACCCACTACCACCCACCACCCACTACCACCCACCACTCACCACCCACTACCACCCACCACCACCCACTACCACCCACTACCACCACCCACCGCGCACCCGAACAGCATGAGAAGCGCTCGTAGCGCCGGTGTCCACGGTGGATGTGCAGCGCAGCACATCTCATTGGTTGGCTCCCGGCGGTGATGTCACAATGAAGCGTGGTCACGTGACGTGAGTGAGAGGCGGGCGGGGGGGTATTCTGAACTTCCTGGGGGTCTTGTAATGAAAAGGCGCTTGGCGATTATGGTGGTGGTGGTGGTATTGATGATGGTAATGACAGTGACAACGATGGTGGTGATGACGATCATGATGGTAATGACAGTGACGACGGTGATGGTGATGACGATGCTCGTGAGAATGACGACGACGATGGCGGTCGTGATGATGGCAGTGGTGATGACGTTCACGGGGCTGGTGGCGGAGCTGGTGATGGTGGTGGTGATGGTGTTGATGAGTGATGATGATGGTGGTGATGACATTCACGGGGGTGGTGGCAGTGCTGGTGATGATCGTGTTGATGAGTGATGATGATGATGATGACGTTCACAGGGGTGGTGGCGGTGCTGGTGATGGTGTTGATGAGTGATGATGGTGATGACGTTCACGGAGGTGGTGGCGGTGATGGTGATGACAGTGACGATGGTGTTGATGAGTGATGAGTGATGATGATGATGACGTTCACAGGGGTGGTGGCGGTGCTGGTGATGATGGTGATGATGGTGGTGATGGTGATGATGGTGTTGATGAGTGATGGTGATGATGGTGATGACGTTCACGGGTGTGGTGGCGGTGATGGTGATGATGGTGGTGATGATGGTGTTGATGAGTGATGGTGATGATGATGGTGGTGACGTTCACTGGGGTGGTGGCGGTGCTGGTGATGGTGTTGATGAGTAATGATGATGATGGTGATGTCGTTCACGTGGATGTTGGTGCTGGTGGTGTCGCTGTCTCCCCCAGTACTCCAGCGACGGCGTCTGTCTCAGTGACGGAGGTTCCTCGTCCCACAACACCCCATCTCTCCCCTCCGTGCCATCGCTCCCCGTCTCTGCGGAGGTCGGTCTGTGTGAGGACGAGTCTTGAGTTGCTCTTCCTTCTCGACGCCAACTCACACCGCACTTTTCGATGTAAAGCTTTCGTGACTGCAGGGATTCGTATTCTTGGTTCTTTCGGTAAAGTCGCGTAGAAGGGAAGTAATAAAATAATAAAAATAAAACATAATAAAATAAAATAATTCTCACGACGTTTCGGCTACAACGCAAGCAGCCGTCTTCAGGCTGCTTGCGTCGTGAGAATTATTTTAATTTATTATTTTTTATTTTTATTATTTTATTACTTCCCTTCTACGTGACTTTACCGAAAGAACCAAGAAGATCACACCGCACTCCCATCACGGACACCCAAAAAAACATAAAAACAAAGACCCGAATTCTCCAACTCCGTTCCCCTTTAAATTTCCATTTCAAGCTTTTCGTGACTGCAGGGATTCGTATTCTTGGTTCTTTCGGTAAAGTCGCGTAGAAGGGAAATAATAAAATAATAAAATATTAAAAAGTAATACAATTCTCACGACGTTTCGGCCACAACGCAAGCAGCCGTCGTCCTCAGGTGAAGAACAGGGCTGTCGGGAAAGACAGCGTCCTAATGAACACCGCTAAGCTTGGCAGCGTATTTTAAGCTGGGTGGGAGGAGCAGAGCACGAAATGTTGCGTCGTGAAACTCACCAGCGCTCGACACAGCCAATTAGTAAGGGGTTTGTCACGTGAACAACAAACCGCCAATGAGTTACCAGTACAGTGTAGTGTAGTATATAGTGTGTAGTGTATAGTGTAGTGTATAGTGTGTAGTGTATAGTGTAGTGTATAGTGTAGTGTATAGTGTAATATAATGTAGTGTAGTGTATAGTGTAGTATATAGTGTGTAGTGTATAGTGTAGTGTATAGTGTAGTGTATAGTGTAGTGTACAGTGTATAGTGTAGTGTATAGTGTAGTGTATAGTGTAGTGTATAGTGTAGTGTATAGTGTAGTGTATCGTATAATATAGTGTAGTGTATATTGTAGTGTATAGTGTCGTGTATAGTGTAATGTAATGTAGTGTATAGTGTAGTATAGTATATAGTGTGTAGTGTATAGTGTAGTGTAGTGTATAGTGTAGTGTATAGTGTAATATAGTGTAGTGTATAGTGTAGTGTAGTAGTGTAGTGTACAGTGTATAGTGTAGTGTATAGTGTAGTGTGTAGTGTAGTGTATACTGTAGTGTATCGTATAATATAGTGTAGTGTATATTGTAGTGTATAGTGTCGTGTATAGTGTAATATAATGTAGTGTATAGTGTAGTGTGTAGTGTAGTGTATAGTGTATTGTGTAGTGTATAGTGTAATATATTGTAGTGTATAGTGTAGTATAGTCTACTACTTCAGTCCACCGGTGAGTTGGAGAGTAAATCCACAACATTTACATTTTGAGTAGTGCGACGTTTCGCTGGTAATTGCAACCAGCATCATCAGGCGATTTGCCAGAATAGTGAAGCAATCCACCTGCTTCCGATCTTAAACAGAGCAAGATTAACCTCATTAAGGTGCAGAAATCAGAGGCGGAGTAGGAGGATGGAGGGGGTATTGTAATTATATCACAGATTAGCGGTTAACATTAATTGCATTTCTCTCAATTTCAATGGATTTTTCCAATTGGTCTGGGCCAGCAATAATTCGTTTTGCACAACACTTCAACTTTATCAAAATCAATTGAGTGTCCTTGTTGGCAAGCAATGTTCTGCAAACTTGCCCGACAGTTGTGTTTGAGAGTACTCAATGTTGAACATAATGAGGCCTCCTTTGCCAGTAGCAACATGTAATACAACTTTTTTTAACTCTTTTTTTCTGGCAACAAAATTGACACAATTGTTTTTCAAGGAATCATGTTACTGCATTAACCACAAAACCTCCCCGTGTCTCCCCCCCCCCCCCCCGTGTCTCCCCTCCCCGTGTCTCCCCTCCCCGCGTGTCTCCCCTCCCCCGTGTCTCCCCTCTCCCCCCCCCCGTGTCTCCCCTCTCCCTCCCCCCGCGTCTCCTCTCCCCTCTCCCCCGTGTCTCCCCCCCGTCTCCCCTCTCCCCCCGTGTCTCCCCTTTCCCTCCCCCCGCGTCTCCCCTCTCCCCCCCGTGTCTCCCCTCTCCCTCCCCCCGCGTCTCCTCTCCCCTCTCCCCCGTGTCTCCCCCCCGTCTCCCCTCCCCCCCCCGTGTCTCCCCTCCCCCCACCCGTTTCTCACCTCCCGTGTCTCCCTTCTCTCTCCCCGTATCCCTCCTCTCCTCCCCGTGTCTACCCCCCCCCCTCCCGTGTCTCCCTTCTCCCTCCCCCCGTGTCCCCCCTCTCCCTCCCCGTATCCCACCTCTCCTCCCCGTGCCCCCCCCCCCGTGTCTCCCCTCCCCTCCCCCGTGTCTTCCCTCTCCCCCCCCGTCTCCCCCCCCCCGTGTCTCTCCCCCCCCTCCCGTGTCTCCCCCCCCGTGTCTCCCTCCCCGTGTCTCCCCCCCCCCCGTGTCTCCCCCCCCCTGTGTCTCCCTCCCCGTGTCTCCCCCCCCTCCGTGTCTCCCCCCCCTCCCGTGTCTCCCCCCCCCCTCCCGTGTCTCCCCCCCCCCGTGTCTCCCTCACCCCGTGTCTCCCCTCCCCCTGTGTCCCCTCCCCCCCCGTGTCTCCCCTCCCCTGCCCCCGCGTCTCCCCGCTCCCTCCCCCCCCGTGTCCCCCCTCTCCCTCCCCGTATCCCCCCTCCCCGTGTCTCCCCCCCCCCGTGTCTCCCACCCCCCGTGTCTCCCTCCCCGTGTCTCCCCCCCCCCGTGTCTCCCCCCCCCCGTGTCTCCCCCCCCCCCCGTGTCTCCCTCCCCGCGTCTCCACCCCCGCGACCTCTGCCCAGGTGCCACCCGGCGTGGCCGTGCTGCAGGGTGCCGCGTGCCCCGAGTCGGTGTGCGAGTCGGCCGCTCGCCTCCTCTTCATGAGCATCAAGTGGGCCAAGAGCGTCCCCGCCTTCTCGGCCCTCCCACTCGGGGACCAGGTTCGAATCCCCCGGCTTGTTTGTTATTGGGGCGCCACGGTGGCTAGGAGATGTTGACTACCTCGCTTGGTGGGCAGGAGGTCGTGGAGTTCGATCCCGACGCTGACGACGCCTGCTGCTGTTAGCTATCTCGCCTGGTGTGCAGGAGGTCGTGGGTTTGATCCCGGCCCTGATGCCTGCTTCTGTATATTTGGAGTTTGCGTCTCTCTCTCATCATCATCACGGTGGCTAGGAGATGTTAACTACCTCGCCTAGTATACAGGAGGTCGTGGACTCGATCCCGACCCTGACGATGCCTGCTGCTGTATATTTGGAGTCTGCGGTGTCTCTCTCTCTCCCCGTGGTCGCGTGGATTTTTCCCCTCCACATTTCCAATCGACACGGTGGCGAAATGTTAACGACCTCAACTAGAAAGGTCTCTTACATTAAATTTCGATTTAAAGCTTTCGTGACTGCAGGGATATTATATTATTATATTATTTTATTATATTATTTTATCATGTTTTATTTTTATTATTTTATTACTTCCCTTCTACGTGACTTTACCGAAAGAACCAAGAAGATGTCTCTTACATTCTTATAGGTTACTAAATGTGAACGTTATCGTAGTTTATGTTGTAGTTATTTCATATCTGCACACTCGTGCAACGTGAGTATTCGCCAATAACTCTCTCGCGTGCGGTACAATTTCACGCGTTTACAAATCACCCCACGTACTACTCCTTGGGACATTGCGACGTTACCCCTCACCCCCAGGGGTCCGCATACCCCTGGCTGAGACCCCCCTTGCCGCTAGAGGCTGTGTGCGCTTGTGCCCCTCACAGCTGGTGCTGCTGCAAGAAGGCTGGCGGGAGCTGTTCGTGTTGGGCATCGCGCAGTGGGCAGTGCCCGTCGACCTGAGCACCCTTCTGGCTGTGGCAGGTGAGAGGGTTTGTGTACAGGTGTGAGTACAGGTGTGTGTGTACAGGTGTGTGTGTGTACAGGTGTGTGTGTACAGGTGTGTGTATAGGTGTGTGTACAGGTGTGTGTGTACAGGTGTGTGTACAGGTGTGTGTGTACAGGTGTGTGTGTACAGGTGTGTGTGTGTACAGGTGTGTACAGGTGTGTGTGTGTACAGGTGTGTGTGTGTACAGGTGTGCGTGTGTCTGTGTGTACAGGTGTGTGTACAGGTGTGTGTACAAGTGTGTGTGCGTCTGTGTGTACAGGTGTGTGTACAGGTGTGTGTGTACAGGTGTGTGTGTGTACAGGTGTGTGTACAGGTGTGTGTGTACAGGTGTGTGTGTACAGGTGTGTACAGGTGTGTGTGTGTACAGGTGTGTGTACAGGTGTGTGTACAGGTGTGTGTGCGTCTGTGTGTACAGGTATGTGTACAGGTGTGTGTGCGTCTGTGTGTACAGGTGTGTGTACAGGTGTGTGTGTGTCTGTGTGTACAGGTGTGTGTACAGGTGTGTGTGTACAGGTGTGTGTACAGGTGTGTGTGTACAGGCGTGTACAGGTGTGTGTGTGTACAGGTGTGTGTACAGGTGTGTGTACAGGTGTGTGTGTGTACAGGTGTGTACAGGTGTGTGTGTGTACAGGTGTGTGTGTGTACAGGTGTGTGTACAGGTGTGTGTACAGGTGTGTGTGTGTACAGGTGTGTGTGTACAGGTGTGTGTGTGTCTACAGGTGTGTACAGGTGTGTGTGTACAGGGGTGTGGTTGTACAGGTGTGTGTGTACAGGTGTGTGTGCGTGTGCACAGGTGTGTTTGTGTACAGGTGTGTACAGGTGTGTGTGTACAGGTGTGTGTACAGATGTGCGTGTGTACAGGTGTGTGCGCATTCAATCCCGACCCTGACTACGCCTGCTGCTGTAGATTTGGAGTCTGCGTCTCTCTCCCCGTGGTCCATGTTTAGAGTCGAAATCGCCACCACGTTTAGAGAGTTACTTGCCCGCTGCTCCATGCTATTCCTACGCGACGACAACCGTGATGATGATGACGACGATGACGACGATGACGACGATGACGACGATGATGACGACGATGACGACGAAAATGACGACAACAATGATGATGATGACGCCGATGACGCCGATGACGACGATGACGACGACGATAACGACGATGATGACGACGATGACGAGGACGACGATGACGACGATGACGACGACGATAACGACGATGATGACGACGATGACGACGACAATGATGACGACGATGATGACGACGATGATGACGACGATGACGACGACGATGACGATGACGATGACGACGACGATGATGACGACGATGACGACGATGACGCCGATGACGACGACGATGATGACGACGATAACGACGACGATGACGACGACGACGATGACGACGATGACGATGGCGCCGATGATGACGACCTCTAACTCAACAACGACAACAATAACGATAACCCACCCACCCCCGCGCCTCCCTTTGTCGGGGGCCCAGGGCTGAACGCGGAGGGGGGAGCCCTGGGCCGCGTGGCGGGCGAGGCGCGGTCGCTGCACGAGACGGTCTGCCGCTTCCGCTCGCTGCGCGTCGACCCCACGGAATTCGCCTGCCTCAAGTGCATCGTCACCTTCAAGGCCGGTGAGCGGGGGGGGTGAGTTAGGGTTAGGGGGGGTGAGTGGGGAGTTCGCCTGCCTCAAGTGCATCGTCACCTTCAAGGCCGGTGAGTGGGGGGGGGGGGGTGAGCGGGGGGTGAGTGAGCGGGGTGAGTGGGGTGAGCGGGGGGGGTGAGTGGGGGGGGGTGGTGAGTGGGTGGGGTGAGTGGGGGGGGGTGAGTGGGGGGGGTTGAGTGGGTGGGGTGAGCGGGGGGGGTGAGCGGGGGGGGGGGTGAGCGGGGGGGGGGTTAGCGGGGGGGGGCGAGCGGGGGGGGGTGAGCGGGGGGGGTGAGTGAGGGGGGGGGGTGAGCGGGGGGGGGGGTGAGCGGGGGGGGTGAGCGGGGTGAGTGGGTGAGTAGATTGAGTGGGTGGGGTGAGGGGGGTTAGAGGGGTGAGAGGGGTGAGTGGGGGGGGGTTAGAGGGGTAAGTAGGGTGAGTAGGTGAGGTGAGTGGGGTGAGTGGGTTGAGTGGGGGGGGGGGGGGTGAGTGGGGTGAGAGGAGTGAGTGGGGGGGTGAGATTGGTGAGGAGCAAGCGGCTTCTCGTGATCAGTGTGGACTAATCTCCATCTGCTCCATCTGGACACTACACACAGGCTACACGGGGGATCTTTGTCTTTGTGTGTTCATAGGCGCTGCTGCTACTCGCTAACAGCACTTGCCCCTAGAGTCTGTCACAGGCTACACGGGGGACCTTTGCCTTTGTGTGTTCACAGGCGCTGCTGCTACTCGCTAACAGCACTTGCCCCTAGAGTCTCTCATAGGCTACACGGGGGACCTTTGTCTTTGTGTGCGACTCGTGCAGTAGGCGCGTGTGGCCAGGAGCTCAGAGCCCTGCGCAGTGGAGCGGCCGTGGCTGCCCTGCAGGACGAGGCGCAGCTCACACTGAGCAGCTACATCCACAGCAGGTGAGGGCACTCACCACTCACTCACTCACCACTCATTCACTCAGCCACTTACTCATTCAGCCACTCACTCACTCAGCCACTCACTCACTCCCTCAGCCACTCACTCACCACTCACTCACTCAGCCACTCACTCAGCCACTCACTCAATCAGCCTCTCACTCACTCGGCCACTCACTCACTTAGCCACTGACTCACCACTCACTCACTCAGCCACTCACTCACTCAGCCACTCACTCACCACTCACTCACTCAGCCACTCACTCAGCCACTCACTCACCACTCGCTCACCACTTACTCACTCACTCACCACTCACTCACTCAGCCACTCAGTCACTCACTCACTCAGCCACTCACCACTCACGCTGAGCAGCTACATCCACAGCAGGTAAGGGCACTCACCACTGACTCACTCAGCCACTCACTCACCCAGCCACTCACTCGCCACTCACTCACTCACTCAGCCACTCACTCACTCAGCCACTCACGCAGCCACTCACTCACTCACTCAGCCTCTCACTCACTCACTCGGCCACTCACTCACTCAGCCACTCACTCAGCCACTCACTCACTCAGCCACTCACTCACTCAGCCACTCACTCACTCACTCAGCCACTCACTCAGCCACCACTCACTCAGCCACTCACTCAGCCACTCACTCAGCCACTCAGCCACTCAGCCACTCACTCAGCCACTCACTCACTCAGCCACTCAGCCACTCACCACTCACTCACTCAGCCACTCACTCATTCACTCAGCCACTCACTCACTCACTCAGCCACTCAGCCACTCAGCCACTCAGCCACTCACTCAGCCACTCAGCCACTCAGCCACACACTCAGCCACTCACTCAGCCACTCACTCACTCACGACTCACTCACCACTCACTCACCACTCACTCACCACTCACCCACTCAGCCACTCATTCACTCACCACTCACTCACTCAGCCACTCACCACTCACTCACTCAGCCACTCACTCACCACTCACTCACTCAGCCACTCACCACTCACTCATTCAGCCACTAAATCACACTCACTACATCCACAGCAGCTGAGAGCGCTCACCACTCACTCACCACTCACTCACCACTCACTCACTACTCACTCACCACTCAGCCACTCACTCACTACTCACTCACCACTCACTCACCACTCACTACATCCACAGCAGGTGAGGGCGCTCACCACTCGCTCGCTCACCACTCGCTCACCACTCACACTCACTACATCCACAGCAGGCGATGATGAGAGAGAGACACACACACAGACTCCAAATCTACAGCAGCAGGCATCGTCAGGGTCGGGATCAAACCCACGACCTCCTGCGTACCAGGCGAGGTAGTCAACATCTCCTAGCCACCGTGATGATGATGAGAGAGAGAGACGCAAACTCTAAATCTACAGCAGCAGGCATCAGGGTCGGGATTGAACCCACGACCTCCTGCGCACCAGGCGAGGTAGTCAACATCTCCTAGCCACCGCAGTGCCCTAACATCTCATGCCCCCCCCCCCACCGCGTGCCCCCTCCCCCCTCACCCACCCCCCACTCCTCCCCCAGGTACCCCGGGGAGCCGTGCCGCTTCGGCAAGCTGCTGCTGACGCTTCCTTCCCTGCGCGCCATCAGCAGCGCCACCATCGAGGGCGTCTTCTTCCGCAGGACCATCGGCTCCGTGCCCATCGCGCGCCTTGTCGCCGACATGTACAAGAGCACCGACGTCTAGTGGGGGGCACTCACGTCTAGTGGGGGGCACCGATGTTTAGGTGCCCTGGGGGGGGGGGGGTGCAAGGGAGCTCCCACGTTGTCCCCTAACACAGCTGCACACGTAGCACTGCCAAGTCACCACGGTCGCAAAAAAAATCTGAATCTGAACATTTCGTTGACTCGGCAACTCCAATCCTCAGCCGCTCCATAGTCCCGCTAATGTCTAGGCAAGGGGGTACCCCCCCGTGGCAGCTGTCCCTGTGTAACACACACACACACGCTGACACACACGCTGTCACACACACACGCTGTCACACACAACAACAACAACCGCCATTCGCCACTAAGTGGCGGTGACGTCACCACGACGCTTGTGCCAGGCCAAGTGCACCTTGAGGCCACACACACACACGCTGTCACACACACGCTGTCACACGCTGTCACACACACACGCTGACACACACACGCTGTCACACACACGCTGCCACACACACACCCTGTCACACACACACGCCGTCACACACACACACACGCTGTCACACACACACGCTGACACACACACGCTGTCACACACACACATGCTGACACACGCACACGCTGTCACACACACACACGCTCAGCTGAGCGAACATCTTAGCGAAGAAGACGCAGTGGGCAGAAGCGCTGGACCCCCTTCACAGCATTCGTCTGCCTCTGTGAGTCGCAGCCATCGACACTGGAGTGTGCCGCCTTAGGTCTGGACCTATCAGACTGGAGCATTAACAATCAATCCCCCTATTAAGAATCCTACAGAGTGCTTAGGTCTGGCACTATGATACTGGAGCATTAACAATCAATCCTATCAAGAATCCTACAAGGTGCCTTAGGTCTGGCCCTATGAGGCTGGAGCATTAACAATCAATCCCCCTATCAAGAATCCTACAAGGTGCCTTAGGTCTGACCCTATGATACTGGAGCATTAACAATCAATCCTATCAAGAATCCTACAAGGTGCCTTAGGTCTGGCTCTATGAGACTGGGGCATTAACAATCAATCCTATCAAGAATCTTACAAGGTGCCTTAGGTCTGGCTCTATGAGACTGGAGCATTAACAATCAATCCTATCAAGAATCCTACAAGGTGCCTTAGGTCTGGCTCTATGAGACTGGAGCATTAACAATCAATCCTATCAAGAATCGTACAAGGTGCCTTAGGTCTGGCCCTATGAGGCTGGAGCATTAACAATCAATCCTATCAAGAATCCTACAAGGTGCCTTAGGTCTGGCCCTATGATACTGGAGCATTAACAATCAATCCCCCTATTACGAATCCTACACGGTGCCTTAGGTCTGGCCCTATGAGACTGGAGCATTAACAATCATATCAAGAATCTTACAAGGTGCCTTAGGTCTGGCCCTATGAGGCTGGAGCATTAACAATCAATCCTATCAAGAATCCTACAAGGTGCCTTAGGTCTGGCTCTATGAGACTGGGGCATTAACAATCAATCCCCCTATTAAGAATCCTACAAGGTGCCTTAGGTCTGGCCCTATGAGGCTGGAGCATTAACAATCAATCCCCCTATTAAGACTCCTACAGGGTGTGCCTTAGGTCTGGCCCTATTAGAAGCAGCCATCATTACCCGAGCTCTCGTACTCTGATGGTGCATTGTCTTCGAGTTGTGCGCCTTTTGGCGTCATCTGGTCCAACACCATGTGAGAGACTAGGCTCTAAGAAAAGCTGTCTCGGGTGTGGACCAATCAATTTCAAGGACGGTGCATACATTATCAGAGTTGTGTTTTTTGTTTGCATTCCGACCGCAGGTATTGTGGTCAATGTAAACATGACTCCTTGTAAAAAACGGTGTCGGTTTTGTTGCCAGATAAAAGGGTAAAAAAACAATTTTCAATCAATCCTCCTATTAAGAATCCTACAAAGTGCCTTAGGTCTGGCCCTATGATGCTGGAGCATTAACAATCAATCCCCCTATTAAGAATCCTACAGGGTGTGCCTTAGGTCTGGCCCTATGAGGCTGGAGCATTATCAATCAATCCCCCTATTAAGACTCATACAGAGTGCCTTAGGTCTGGCCCTATGAGGCTGGAGCATTAACAATCAATCCCCCTATTAAGAATCCTACAGGGTGTGCCTTAGGTCTGGCCCTATTAGAAGCAGCCATCATTACCCGAGCTCTCGTACTCTGATGGTGCATTGTCTTCGAGTTGTGCGCCTTTTGGCGTCATCTGGTCCAACACCATGTGAGAGACTAGGCTCTAAGTAAAGCTGTCTCGGGTGTGGACCAATCAATTTCAAGGACGGTGCATACATTATCAGAGTTGTGTTTTTTGTTTGCATTCCGACCGCAGGTATTGTGGTCAATGCAAACATGACTCCTTGTAAAAAACGGTGTCGGTTTTGTTGCCAGATAAAAGGGTAAAACAACTATTATCAATCAATCCTCCTATTAAGAACCCTACATGGTGCCTCAATAGTGGCTCTGTGAGACCACAGGGCATTCACAAACCCCTTAACGACGATGATGATGATGATGATAACCTGAAGCGCGCCTTGACGAGGTTCTGAGACTCGGGCATTGACGCCGGACGGGCTGACGGTGGTACCACGCCGAAGGTGCCTCTCACGGCCGTGCGTTCATTGCCACCCCGCCCCCACGCCAACTTGTGCAAATTCAAACATTCCTATGGGCTTATACTCTTAGTTTTTCGGTAAAGTCACGTAGGTAAAAAAATTTAATTAAATTAATAAAAATAAAATCATATTTTATAAAAATCAAATATTATTTAAAATTTATAAAAATTAAATAATATTTTATTTTTATTAATTTCAATTTTTTTACCTACGTGACTTTACCGAAAAAACTAAGAGTATGAATCCTTGCAGTCACGAAAGCTTCAAATCTAGAATTCCTATGGGCGGCGGTGAGTCCATCCGGTCGGCGGGGGGAACTTCTGCTGTAGCAAACGTGGCTAGCGGCAGCGGCGTTCTTGCCCGCAACGGGCGCCATAACAGTGGCTCTCTCAACTAGGGCTGAACGCCATGGGAACCTCATTTGCCAGTAAAAAATATGATAATTGGTTTTTTTACCCTTCTATCTGGCAACAAAACTGACACCTTTTTTACAAGGAGTCATGTTTACATAGACAACAATACCTGCAGTCATAATGCAAACAAAAAAGGCTCTAAGGAAAGCTGTCTCGGGTGTGGACCAATCAACTTCAAGGACAGTGCACATTATCAGAGTTATGTTTTTTGTTTGCATTATGACTGCAGGTATTGTGGTCTATGTAAACATGACTCCTTGTAAAAAAAGGTGTCAGTTTTGTTGGCAGATAGAAGGGTAAAAAAAACAATTATCATAGGGCTGAACGATTTGTGGAAAATATCAATTTGCGATTTGTCTGACAGATATTGCGATTGCAATTTGATTTGAGATAAAAGGTCAAGCATCAGTTCAATATTCACTGTGTAATCGATTTTAAAAGTGTGATGGAGCATTACCACGTGATGCCATTAAAATATGAACTGCTCTATATATTCTAATGCAAGGATGAGAACTTAAAAATATATGAATTGCTTCCGACATGTATTTATTAAAATGTTTTAATTGAAATAGAACATTTCGATTTAAAGCTTTCGTGACTGCAAGGATTCATCTTCTTGGTTCTTTCGGTAAAGTCACGTAGAATGGATATTTTATTATGTTTTATTTGTATTATTTTATTATTTCCATTCTACGTGACTTTACCGAAAAAACCAAGAAGATGAAATAGAACAATCAAACATAGAACAATTGTTAAGTTACATAAAATTATAATAATAAAATAATTAAACAATTCCAATAAGAAAGCAATAGGACTTATCAAATCGTAAAAAATCGCAGCCTTTGCGATGTGCTAATCGCATTGTTTCAAATTGCGATTTCGATTTGAAATCGATTAATCGTTCAGCCCTACTCTCAACGCGTCGTTTTGATCAGCTTGGGGTGGGTTGCTTGGTGGAGGGGGGCATTGACCACCCACCCCCCATGGGCTTGTAAACCGTTCAGTTTCGGGGGAGTAAGACGGGAACGTTTCCCCGCATGCCTCCGATGAGGACGGTTGGCTACGTACGGCGCGATAGAAGTTCAACGTACATACACTACACTATACACTACATACTACAAACACGTTCATCCGGAGTGGGCAGGTAGGAACTTGGTTGGACAGCGCATTCGTGCACGACAGAAAGCTCGCGGTCACGTGACGCACTTCAACCAATCCGGGAGCGTACATGTTTGGGAGGGGCTTTGCACGACAGACAAATAATCCCTGGTGGGCAGTGTGGAACTGCTGTTCCTACCTGTATATGCACTACTCTACACTGCACAACTATACACTATACGATACTAAATTGAAAACTCATTTCTTTAGAACTGCTTCTTGTTGTTGTGTTTAGTTTGTTGTCCATCCCCCCGCACCTCCGATTTGCGTGGTTGGCTACGTACGGTGCGAAAGAAGTTAAACGTACATACACTATACACGACACACTCCAATACACACTACACCATACACTACTATACAGTCCACTATACACTACACTACTACACTATGTACTACACTATACACTACACTACTACACTATATACCACACTATACACTCTACTATACACTACACTATATACCACACTATACACTGCAATACACACTACACTATACACTACATGCTACAATATACACTACTATACAGTCCACTATACACTACACACTCCAATACACACTACACCATACACTACATGCTACAATATACACTACTATACAGTCCACTATACACTACACTACTACAATATACACTAAACTACTATACACTACACCACTATACTAAATTTAAAAATCATTTATTTAGAACTGCTTGTTGTATTTAGTTTGTTGTACTTTCCCCCACACCACCGATTAGCGATGTTGGCTACGTACGGTGCGAAAGAAGTTCAACATACATAGACGACACCATACACTACAATACACTACGCTATACACTACAATAAAAATTTGGAAAACTAATTTCTTAAGAACCGCTTGTTGTGTTTAGTTTTTTTTATCCCTCCCCCCGCACCTCCGATTTGCGTGCTTGGCTACGTCCGGTGCGAAAGAAGTTCAACATGGGCACACATACATCTGTAGTGTTGTAATTATTGAGACCACTTGGTCTGTGGGTCTTGACCACTGGTCTCACTGAGCTCCAGTCCTTAGAAGGGCTGTAGAGCTTGGATCCAGGGCAGAGGTCGCAAACGGGTTTTGATTCCTTACCCGTACCCGTACCCGGCTGCACCAGGGTCGCAAACGGGTACCCGTACCCGGCCGGGTAGGGCACGGGTACCCGTACCCGATACCCGGCCGGGTACGGGTAGCCAGGTATCGGGTAGGGTACGGGTATCGGGTACCCGATTGCGACCTCTGGGATGAAGCCATGTTGCAGGCGCGGGTGGGTTGATTCTAGGAACTTGAATTGTGAGAAGAGACAAGACGTTGGGAAATGAGTGACAAACGGTTACTCACCAGTGACTCACGGCCTACCCGTACCCGTACCCGGCCGCACCAGGGTCACAAACGGCTACCCGTACCCGGCTGGGTACGGGTAGCTTTCGCTACGTTGTCCCCACCTGAAGAAGGACGCTTGTGTTGCGCCCGAAACGTCGCGTTTTAATTTAGTTGTTTTCATTTATGTTATTTAATTTTTTACCTACGTGACTTTACCGAAAAAACCAAAGAGTATGAATCCTTGCAGTCACGAAAGCTTCAAATCTAGAATACAGTAAACCCACAACATGTCAGGATTACAGTAAACCTACAACATGTCCTGTATAGGATTACAGTAAACCCACAACACATCCTGTATAGGATTACATTAAACCCACGTCCTCTATAGGATTACAGTAAACCCACATCACCTGTAGAAACATACAGTAAACCCACCACACGTCCTGTACAGAAATTACAATAAACCCACAACATGACCTCTATAGGATTACAGTAAACCCACAACACGTCCTGTATAGGATTACAGTAAACCCACGACACGACCTATGCAGTGTCACAGCGCCGGCTGCTGGACAGCGATGGCAGCTGTAAGGGACAGTGCACACGCCGGTGAGGGCGTGCACGGTGCGTGTTGGCAGAGCGGAGGAACTGGGGCAAGGGTCATGGAGGACCCCGTCTGGAGGTCCCTGGAACCTGCTGGCGGGTTCGAGAAGGGAGGCGCGGTCAGGGCGGAGCCAGGGCCGCGCTGGGAGCGTAAAAGGAGCCAAGGGCGGGGAGCTCGAGGCTGCCGGTTCTGGGAATGGACTCGTCGCCGTCGTCGCCGCTAAACGTCTCCGCTAGATGTTGCGCTACGAAGGATCGCACTTGGCTATCTCGGTAAGCGCCGTCAGTGTTAGACGGCCGGTGTTGTGTACAGGCTGGGCTGAGCAACTGTGGAGAGTGTGCGGAGACCGTGGAAGTTGATAATGAAGAAAGTGCCTCCTAGAGACTCTGTCTGTGAATCGTGGGACCACCCTTGCCACGACACTGGCAAGGGAGGTCCAATGATGTAGCTGCTCAAGCCGAGCTCTCAATGTCCTGAGAGTGGCATTGTCCTTGTGCTGTGTTCGCTGTTCGGCGTTGTCCTCTGGTCTAACACCGAGACTCGGCTCTAAAGAAAGCCGTCTCTGGTGTGGGCCAATCAGTTTCAAATATAATGCATCATAAACTACCAGAGCACGTTTTCTGTTTGCATGTTCACCACAAGTATGTGTGTGTGTGGTTCATAAAGTTACACGATTCCTTGCAAAAGGTTTCTGTTTTGGTGTTTCAACATTGCTGTTTTATTTCCAGAAAGGGTAAAACCTATTCTCGTACAGCCTCATCCTGCCAACGCCCGTGTCAAGAGTCGAGCACTTGCAGACGTGCCGCATGTGTAAAAATGTTTATCGCGGTTGCGTTTCATTACATGGCCCACCACCAAAAACCCTTGTCCCACTCACTACTGCCCCCCTTTCCCCATCCTTCCATTTAATGTTGGACACCGCGGTGGCTCGGAGACGTTAACGCCCTCGCCCTGGTATGGAGGTTCGTGGGTTTGATCCCGACCCGGGGTTGTACATTTGGAGTCTGCGTCGCTCTCTCTCTCGCTCTCATCCCGTGGCGGTCGCTCGGATTTTGTCTCCGGTTCCTCCCGTTTTCTTTTTCCTGCATTCCCCACCCCTCCACGTTCAGAATCAACATCGCCACGCGTTGAAGAGCTTTACTTGGCCTGTTGCTAAAAAACATTTCCACGCGGCCACAATGATGAGCCGCCACGTCCAGCAAGCCATCATTTGCCATGGCCAGGTGGCGTCCTAAAAAACGAAAAGAGCTCAAGCGAGGCCTTTTGCCCGGTTATAATTTAGTAACCTCCTGTCATTTTTCCCTTTTTGTTATTGTCCGTCACCGTACAACAAACATTGCGTTCGGTCGTCTTGCCCACGCAGTGGGCAGTGGCGGGCGCAGAGATGCTGGCAGCGTCGTCCGTTTTGGTCGCTTCTCAGCCAGCGCTTGGGTGGGTGGCTGGGTGGGTGGATGGGTGGCTGGGTGAATGGCTGGGTGGGTGAGTGGCTGGCTGGGTGGCTGGCTGGAGTTTTCCGTCCGGTCGCTCCGCAAATGGCCAAAACTCACCGACTCGACTAAAGTAAAAAAAAATATTTTGGTTTTTATTGGGCCAGGGAAGTGCCCCAAAAACTGAATTTCTTTACGTGGCCGGCCGCGCCGATCGGAAGGACGGCGGTCGCCAGCAGAAGTTTATTTCCATACAAACGATAGCGAAGGGAAGCGTGCTCACCACGTGGGCATTTACAGCCCGCCGAATGCTCGAAACGCGGAGGGAGGGGGGGGGGAACCGGAGGCGCCACGCGGAGAGAGACGGGCACACTGCAGACTCTAAATACATAGCAGCAGGCATCGTCAGGGTCGGGATGGAACCCACGACCTTCTGCACACCAGGCGAGGTCGTTAACATCTCCTAGCCACCGTGATGATGATGATGAGAGAGAGACGCAGACTCCAAATGTACAGCAGCAGGCGTCTGGGTCGGGATCGAACCCACGCCTCCTGCGCACCAGGCGAGGTAGTCGACATCTCGCCAACGTCAGCAGGACGTCTCCCGTAGACTCGGTGAGGCTTGGCTGGGTGGGGGGGGTGATGCTGACGACTCCCGCCCGTCACTGCTATGCCAAGCCCTGGACCCGTGAACCTGACCGCAAAGCAGCACCGAGCTCTGTAGTAGTATAACGGTGGACCCGGCCACTCACGCGTGTGTGTGTGTGCGCGTGTGTGTGTGCGTGTGTGCGTGTGTGTGGTGGTGGTGGTGGAGAGGAGGCTCGTGAAGGACGCTGCTACTGGCCAGTCGGAGGCAGTCGCCCTCCAGCAACAACGGAGGGCGGAGGAGCGACGCTCACAATAACGAGCGGAGCGCCGGGCGTGTGTGCGTTGCTGCGCTACGAACCCAGCGACCGATCCCACCACCCCCACCCCCCCCCCCCCCCCCCGAGTTCGATTCCCCCGGTTTTATGAACAGGTCCTGGTCCTCCCCTGGGTCGGCTCGGCCTAAAATGAGTACGTGCAATGGCGTCCAAAACATCGGTGGCCGGGCGCGGTGTTGGCGTGCGTGCGAGTATCCGTCCCCTACTTCCTGTCTCGCCGTCTCTCCCTCTCCCTGTCTCTCTCTCTGTCCCTCTCCCCAACACTCTTCCCAACTCTCTCCCCAACTCTCGCCCTGTCTCTCTCCCCATGTCTCTCCCCGTCTCTCTCCCCGTCTCTCGCCCTGTCTCTCTCCCCATGTCTCTCCCCGTCTCTCTCCCCAACTCTCGCCCTGTCCCTCTTCCCATCTATCTCCCTGTCCCTCTCCCCATCTCTCGCCCTGTCCCTCTTCCCATCTCTCTCCCTGTCCCTCTCCCCATCTCTCTCCCTGTCTCCTCTCTTCCCATCTCTCTCCCCAACTCTCTCCCTGTCTCCTCTCTCCCCGTCTCTCTCCCTCTCGCTGTCTCTCTTCTTCCCCCTCTCCGGGCCTCCGGCGTCTCTCTCCCGTCTCTCCCGCGACCGACTCCGGCTCCTGCGCTTCTGCTTCCGTTCGTGCTTCGCGCTTTCCTGAAACGCATAGGGGGAGGAGAGGGGAGACACGGAAAAGAGTGGGGAGACGCGAGGAGGAGAGGGAAGACACGGGGAGGAATGGGGAGACACGAGGAGGAGAGGGGAGATGAGGGGAGGAGAGGGGAGACACGGGGAGGAGAGGGGAGACACGGGGAGGAGAGGGGAGAGGCAAGAGACACGCAAACTCCAAATATACAGCAGGCGTCGGGGTCGGGATCGAACCCACAACCTCCTGCACACCAAGCGAGGTAGTTAACATCTCCCCATGCACACAGCGCACACATCCATAGATCACACAGCACCACACACACTACACAGCACAACACACAAGACACACACTACACTACACACACACGACACACACACACGACACACACACACGACACACACACTACACACACTACACACACGGCACACACACACACACCACACACTACACACACACACGACACAAACACTACACACGGCACACACACTACACACAGCAACACACAGCAACACACGACACACACACGGCACACACACGAGCAGGGGCTGTACCTCGAGCGTGCGTCTGCTGGGCTTCGTGGAGGACTGCGGCTCACAGTCCAGGAGGAGTTCGTAGCCGGCACTGGGAGACCTCGTCAAGGAAGGGACCTCACCACCACTCCGCCAACACCGCTCACCGCTCACCGCTCACCGCTCACCGCTCACAACTCACCGCTCAGCACTCACCCCTCACCGCTCACCCCTCACTCCTCACAACTCACCGCTCACCCCTCAGCGCTCACCCCTCACCACTAACCCCTCATGTTCTGCAGATGTAGATGCCACTGGTTCTTCACGTTCTGTAGATGTAGATGCCACTGGTTATTCACGTTCTGCAGATGTAGATGCCACTGGTTCTTCACGTTCTGCAGATGCCACTGGTTCTTCACGTTCTGCAGAGGGAGATGCCTCTGGTTCTTCACGTTCTGTAGATGTAGATGCCACTGGTTCTTCACGTTCTGCAGATGCCACTGGTTCTTCACGTTCTGCAGATGTAGATGCCACTGGTTCTTCATGTTCTGTAGATGTAAATGCCACTGGTTCTTCACGTTCTGTAGATGTAGATGCCACTGGTTCTTCACGTTCTACAGATGTAGATGCCACTGGTTCTTCACGTTCTACAGATGTAGATGCCACTGGTTCTTCACGTTCTGTAGATGTAGATGCCACTGGTTCTTCACGTTCTGCAGATGTAGATGCCACTGGTTCTTCACGTTCTGTAGATGTAGATGCCACTGGTTCTTCACGTTCTACAGATGTAGATGCCACTGGTTCTTCACGTTCTACAGATGTAGATGCCACTGGTTCTTCACGTTCTGCAGATGTACATGCCACTGGTTCTTCGTGTTCTGCAGATGTAGATGCCACTGGTTCTTCACGTTCTGTAGATGTAGATGCCACTGGTTCTTCACGTTCTACAGATGTAGATGCCACTGGTTCTTCACGTTCTGTAGATGTAGATGCCACTAGTTCTCACGTTCGGCAGATGTAGATGCCACTGGTTCTTCACGTTCTGTAGATGTAGATGCCACTGGTTCTTCACGTTCTACAGATGTAGATGCCACTGGTTCTTCACGTTCTGTAGATGTAGATGCCACTGGTTCTTCACGTTCTGCAGATGTAGATGCCACTGGTTCTTCACGTTCTGTAGATGTAGATGCCACTGGTTCTTCACGTTCTACAGATGTAGATGCCACTGGTTCTTCACGTTCTACAGATGTAGATGCCACTGGTTCTTCACGTTCTGCAGATGTACATGCCACTGGTTCTTCGTGTTCTGCAGATGTAGATGCCACTGGTTCTTCACGTTCTGTAGATGTAGATGCCACTGGTTCTTCACGTTCTACAGATGTAGATGCCACTGGTTCTTCACGTTCTGTAGATGTAGATGCCACTAGTTCTCACGTTCGGCAGATGTAGATGCCACTGGTTCTTCACGTTCTGTAGATGTAGATGCCACTGGTTCTTCACGTTCTACAGATGTAGATGCCACTGGTTCTTCACGTTCTACAGATGTAGATGCCACTGGTTCTTCACGTTCTGCAGATGTACATGCCACTGGTTCTTCGTGTTCTGCAGATGTAGATGCCACTGGTTCTTCACGTTCTGTAGATGTAGATGCCACTGGTTCTTCACGTTCTACAGATGTAGATGCCACTGGTTCTTCACGTTCTGTAGATGTAGATGCCACTAGTTCTCACGTTCGGCAGATGTAGATGCCACTGGTTCTTCACGTTCGGCAGATGTAGATGCCACTGGTTCTTCGCATTCCACAGATGTAGATGCCACTGGTCCTTCGCATTCTACAGATGTAGATGCCACCACCTCCGTCTATTGCGCGGCGGTTGAACTTACGACTCTCGGTCCGAACGGGCAACTGGACATACGGACCGGGTTTGTTGGCGTCTCTGCAAGTTCCTAAGTCGAATGCTCGCAGGTCGAGGAGTCTCCACGTATTCCGCGATCGAGCGAAGGGAACGACGTCGCAGCGTAAGCAGCAATACGCGGGGGCTGTAACGAGCTGCCCCGGCGTAGCGTCGTCGTTTTCGTCACCATTACCACGAGGCATCGGGATGCTGCTGGATGCTGATGGACGCTACCCACCACGCGCCTCGGCCGTCGTCCGGCCTGCGTCCGCCGCGTCATCTCGCGTTGTTACTGCCGACTGTTGCTTTACCCCTCTACATGAAATGCTATTCATCATCTCGACTTAAAGCTTTCGTCACGTAGATGGGTTCAAACAAAATAACAAAAAGAACAAATAAACTACGACATTTCGATCGCAACGCGAGCCTGGTGACGACCGCTTGCGATCGAAACGTCGTAGTTTTTTTGTTATTTTGTTGGAATTTTTCGGGTTATTTTCTTTGAACCCATCTACGCGACTTTACTGACAGACCCAAAGAATCTCGTTATTTACCACAACGCGATTGTTCCACAGGAACGCAGCCACTGCTAGCGCCACGTTTTAGGAGCGCACCGACTGAACGCGTGAATGGGTTTGGAAGTTGCTGTGAGCGTGCGTGCGGGCGGGCGGGAGTGAGGATACGTCTGCTGTGCCGGCTTGGCTTTCTCCTTGAGTGCCAGCTTACTGTGGACGGGCTTGTGATGACTCAGTTCCCTGAGCTCGTCCTTGCTGTAGTGGCCACCTGCCCGGCACAGAGACAGAGACCCCGAACCCCATTATAGAGCGTTGGAGGCAAGTGTGTTAGCGAGCAGCAACGCCGATGGAGGCCGGCACGGCACGTGAGGGGGTGGCCAGCACCATGCCCGCCCACCTTTGTCTCCCTTCACCTTCCAGTGTCTCCCCTCTACCCCCCCCGCATCTCCCCTCTCCTCCCCCCCGTGTCTCCCCCTTCCCCCCGTGTCTCCCCCCTCCCCCCGTGTCTCCCCCCGTGTCTCCCCCCGCGTCTCCCCCTCCCTCCGTGTCTCCCCCTCCCTCCGTGTCTCCCTTCTCCCCCCGCGTCTCCCCCCTCCCCCCGTGTCTCCCCCTCCCTCCGTGTCTCCCCCTCCCTCCGTGTCTCCCCCCTCCCCCCGCGTCTCCCCCCTCCCCCCGTGTCTCCCCCTCCCTCCGTGTCTCCCCCTCCCTCCGTGTCTCCCCCCTCCCCCCGCGTCTCCCCCCTCCCCCCGTGTCTCCCCTCTCCCTCCGTGTCTCCCCTCTCCCCCCGTGTCTCCCCCTCCCTCCGTGTCTCCCCCCTCCCCCCGTGTCTCCCCTCTCCCCCCGTGTCTCCCCTCTCCCCCCGTGTCTCCCCTCTCCCCCCGTGTCTCCCCCTCCCTCCGTGTCTCCCCCCTCCCCGCGTGTCTCCCCTCTCCCCCCGTGTCTCCCCCCTCCCTGCGTGTGTCCCCCACCTCGTCCTTTCCACTTGACCTTGGCCACCGATTGGCTGAAGTCGACGTGAATCCGTCGGTCGTCAATGAGGACGTTGTCCATCTTGAAATAGGCTCGCTCGCAGTCCTCGCTCTGTAGGGTACACAGCATCAGCAGCATCATCAGCAGAATCAGCATCATCAGAATCATCAGCAGAATCATCATCAGCAGCATCATCAGCAGCAGCATCATCAGCAGAATCATCATCAGCATTATCAGCAGCAGTATCATTATCATCAGCAAAATCATCATCAGCAGAATCATCATCATCAGCAGCAGCATCATCCATAAGAGGTTTATTTGGGGATTAGATCGTGTAAGTATCTCAATGTTGTGTCGTTAAACCCGTCACCACCCAACTCAGCCAATTAGTGAGAGGGTTTGTCACGTGAACAGAACGTGGCCAATTCGTGACCGGGACAGCACTAACACGGTGTGTTGGACTCGAATTGTAAATGTCATCACTCTCCAACAACACAACCGCGGTGCTGAACTTCTAACGAATTGGCCACGCTCTGTTTACGTGACAAACCTTTGTTTTTTTCGGTAAAGTCACGTAGGTAAAAAAAGGAAAATAAATTAAATCACGACGTTTCGGAGGCAACGCAAGCTTCCGTCTTCAGGTGGAACCGTCACAGCAAAATTGCTGCACTCTGATGTTGTAGGAGAAAACATAAGTCTCTTTAATTAAGTAGAACGTGTCGTCTATATTAATTTAAAATTGCCCATTTTGATGTGACGTCACATTTCTCAAACTCCCCCCCCCTCCTCGTCACACATCGTCACAAATGTATGACCACCCCCCCACCCAGGTGCGTGACGTCATATATAGACGGCTCCTTTGGCAGTAGCGGCTACACGTCAATAGGGGGCGATCGAGGGGCTGAGCCCCAGTGCTGAGAGACTCTGGGCCATAGGACCCAACGGTTGCCCTGTGGATCGTGAAGTTAAACTGCATTTTGGATATTCATAAAACGTCATTCGCGGGCCATACAAAATTATCAACTTAAAAATTAGCCCGTTATATTTGGTCAAACATTCAATTAACTCGCCCCTAATGCGATGGGCTGGAACTGCTTCTCTTTGGCGAGGCGTGTGACGATGTTAGCTGGTATCGATGATGCTGCTACTCGCAACTGCTTTTCCAGGTTTGCTCCTAGATTTATTGAATTTCGAGTCCCGCATGCGGTTGCCTTGGCAGGGCCACACCAAATGATTTTGCGGGCCTCATACGGCCCGCGGGCCGGACGTTCCCCCACCCGTGTGTTAAAGGGACAGACCCCAGACCCCAGGAGGAACCGGGTACCCGATACCCGTACCCTACCCGATACCCGGCTACCCGTACCCCGTTTGCGACCCTGGTGCGGCCGGGTACGGGTAGGCCGTGAGTCACTGGTGAGTAACCGTTTGTCACTCATTTCGGGTAGGGTACGGGTAGGGAACGGCTACCCGTACCCGGTCGGGTACGGGTACCCATTTGCGACCCTGGTGCGGCCGGGTACGGGTAAGGAATCAAAACCCGTTTGCGACCTCTGCATCACTCCCAGATCCTTCTCGAAGGTTTCGGAAGGAAGGCGTGGCTAGGGCGGAGCAAGCCACGGGCCGAGGTGGTCGTCGTCCAGCTGAAAACGAGAAGCTCTTGAAGCTTGAAGAGCCCAAGGGCAGTGCCGTACCACTGGTAAGGGACGGCTCAGCTTATATACCAGTGAAGATCCAAGCTGCACTCAAGCAGAACTTATAGATTAGCCAGTGAGAGGCATATCAGTCTGGAGGGCACACTCACCATAGTGTATCGGGTGTGAGGGGCCATACCCCTCCGTGTTAACTGTTAATTGTTCAAATAAATTTGCGTTGCTTCACGTAAGTTTCCTCTCTGTCATTGGACCCACGACACACAAAGTTTCCTTACCTTCGTGAACTCCACAAATGCGTAGCAGAGGGACTCTCCGGTCTTGCGGTCGCGTATGATCTCACAGCTGCGACACACACGCAGATACACACAGACACAAAGACCCCCACTATAGCCTTAACAGACTGTCGGAGAAAAAAGCTGTTAGCGAAAAGCACCCAGGAAGGTCACGGGGCAGACCCAGGTGCCACGGGTCGACTGACCGAGATGAGTGGGCGATGCACCACCTGTGCCCCCTACTGTGCCAACTTGCTGTGCTTTAGCCACCCGGCGCTCCGCTCGTTGTTGTGAGCGTCGCTCCTCCGCCCTCCGTTGTTGCTGAGCAGCGTACTTCACGAGCCTCCTCCTCCACAGAGGCCGATCTTGACACCGCTGGTACCGGTCATCGGCAAGTTCACTCAGCTCCACATCCTCCTGTACCACGTCACTCCATCTCTTCTCTAGCCCGTGTCGTGCCCGATTAGCCCCCCTCTATCCGGCCAAACAGAAGCTGCCTGGGCACGCGGTGGCTGCTACGTGACCCAGCCAACACAGCCGAACACAGGTGGCAATTCAAGAGACCTGATAGGGGTCTCATTGGCAAGGGGGTAGCGAGTCTGAATGAGTGGGTCGATGAGTGCGCGACTGGGAAGAAATGGTGGGTGAGGTGGTGGGTGGGTGAGGTGGTGGGTGGGTCAGTGGGGAGCGGTGGTGCAGTGGTTAGCGCTACGCTGCGCTGCGAATTCGCTTCCCGCTCACGGCCACCAACACCGGTGATTAATTATCTGAACTGAGTGCCTCCCCTAGGTCAATTCAGCCTCAAATGAGTACCCGGTGTGGCGGTGCGTAGTGAACATCGCCACTGGGGAGACAAAGGCGGCCGGGCGTGGTGCTGGCCACCCACCCTATCGTGTGTCACAGCGCCGGCCTGCATCGGTGCTACTCGCTAACAGCACTTGCCCCAACAGTCTGTCACAGGCTACACGGGAGACCTTTGTCTTTGTGTGTTCATAGGCGCTGCTGCTGCTACTCGCTAACAGCACATGCCCCTACAGTCTGCTACAGGCTACACAGGGGACCTTTGTCTTTGTGTGTCCATAGGCGCTGCTGCTGCTACTCGCTAACAGCACTTGCCCCTACAGTCTGTCACAGGCTACATAGGGGATCTTTGTCTTTGTGTTTGTGCGCTACGGCTACTCGCTAACAGCACTTGCCCCAACAGTCTGTTACAGGCTACACGGGGGATCTTTGTCTTTGTGTGTTGATAGGCGCTGCTGCTACTCGCTAACAGCACTTGCCCCTGCAGTCTATCACAGGCTACACGGGGGATCTTTGTCTTTGTGTGTTGATAGGCGCTGCTGCTACTCGCTAACAGCACTTGCCCCAAAAGTCTGTTACAGGCTACATGGGAGGCCTTTGTCTTTGTGTTTTCATAGACGTTGCTGCTGCTGCTACTCGCTAACAGCACGTGCCCCAACAGTCTGCCACAGGCTACACGGGGGACCTTTGTCTTTGTGTTTGCGCGCTACGGCGGTGTGCTGTACCTGGCGATGGGTCCGAATCGAGAGAAGATGACCTCGAGGTCGTCGTCGTTGGTGACGGGGTTGAGCTTGCACACGAAGAGCACCGAGTCCGGAGGAGCAACGTCAGCATCGGGGAGGTCTCCGATCTGAGCGCACGCGGGGAGAGGGGAGACACGGGGGGAGACACGGGGGGAGACACGGGGGGAGACACGGGGGGAGACACGGGGGGAGACACGGGGGGAGACACGGGGGGAGACACGGGGGGAGACACGGGGAGAGACACGGGGAGAGGAGAGACACGGGGAGAGGGGAGACACGGGGAGAGACACGGGGAGAGGAGAGACATGGGGAGAGGGGAGACACGGGGAGAGGGGAGACACGGGGAGAGACACGGGGAGAGGCTAGGGTTAGGAATTGATGATGCTGCTGATGATGCTTCTGCTGCTGATGATGCTTCTGCTGCTGATGACAATGCTCCTGATGATACTGATGATGCTGCTGATGATGATGCTACTGCTGCTACTGAAGCTACTACTACTGCTGCTACTGCTGCTACTGCTGCTGCTAGTACTGCTACTACTGCTGCTACAACTGCTGCTGCTGCTACTGCTGCTACTACTGCTGCTGCTGCTACTGCTGCTACTGCTACTACTGTTACGACTGCTGCTGCTGCTACGACTGCTGCTGCTGCTGCTACTGCTACTACTGCTGCTGCTGCTACTGCTGCTGCTGCTACTGCTGCTGATACTGCTGCTGATACTGCTGCTGCTGCTACTGCTGCTGCTACTGCTGCTACAACTGCTGCTGCTACTGCTACTACTACTGCTGCTGCTACTACTGCTGCTGCTACTGCTGCTGCTACTGCTGCGTGTTGAAGCGAGCGGCACAACTCCGCACCATCTCCAGCAGCGTCGCCCGGGCCTTGGCCTCCTTCTCCGACGAGATCTCCGCCACCTCCTCCACCGACCTCCCCTGCATGTCGTTGACATCCTCGTCGGCCCTGATGCGTCCGCTCTGTGACACACACACATCATCACCACCATCGTCAGTGCCACCGTCATCATCGTCACCATCATCATCACCACCGCCACCACCACCACCATCACCACCACCATCACCATCATCATCACCACCACCACCATCATCACCACCATCACCACCACCACCATCATCACCACCACCATCACCACCACCATCACCACCATCATCACCAACACCACCACCATCACCACCATCACCACCACCACCATCACCACCGCCACCACCACCACCACCACCGCCACCACCATCACCACCATCACCACCACCATCATCACCACCACCATCACCACCACCATCACCACCACCACCATCACCACCACCACCATCACCACCACCACCATCACCACCACCACCACCACCGCCACCACCATCACCACCATCACCACCACCACCATCACCACCATCACCACCAACATCACCACCACCACCATCACCACCACCACCATCATCATCATCACCACCACCATCATCATCATCACCACCACCACCATCATCACCACCATTATCATCATCACCATCATCATCATCACCACCACTATCACCACCACCGCCACCATCACCACCATCACCACCACCACCGCCGCTCGCTCCTCACGTCGAGTTGTTGTGCCGTGGGCTCCGGGGAGCGGTCCGGAACGCAGAGTCCCGGGGGGTCCGGGAAGGGGTCGTCCAGCACCACGGTGTGGGACAGCCTGCACACAAAGCAGCACACGCAGCAGCAGAAGCAGGAACAGTAGTAGTAGCAGCAGCAGTAGCAGCAGCAGCAGCAGCAGCAGCAATAGCAGCAGCAATAGCAGTAGCAGCAGCAATAGCAGCGGCAGCAGCGGCAGCAGCGGCAGCAGCAGTAGCAGCAGCAGTAGCAGCAGCAATAGCAGTAGCAGCAGCAATAGCAGCGGCAGCAGCAGTAGCAGCATCAGCAGTAGTAGCTGCAGACAAAGATCAAACAAAGATCCCCCGTTTAGCCTTAACAGACTGTAGGGGCAAGTGCTGTTAGCGAGCACCTATGAAGGCCGGAACGGTACACGAGGGGGTGGGTGGCCAGCACCACGCCCGACCGCCTTTGTCTCCCTAGTGGCGATGTTTACACACTACACCAGGTACTCATTTCAGGCTGAGTCGACCTAGGGGAGGCCCGGTACCGGTTCAGATAATCGTCACTGGGTGTTGGCCGTGAGCGGGAATCGAACCCGGGTCGCCAGGTTCATAGCGCAGCGCGCTAACCGCTACACTACCGCTCCCCACGTAGCTGCAGGAACTGTGGGGGCACACGGTAGCTGCAGACACACACACAAACACACACAGACACACACAGACACACACACACATAGACACACACAGACACACACACACACATACACACACACACACAGACACACACACACATAGACACACACACACATAGACACACACAGACACACACAGACACACACACAGACACACACACACAGACACACACACACATAGACACACACACACACAGACACACACACACACAGACAGACACACAGACACACAGACACAGACACACACACACGCCCTGCACCAGGCACTCATTCGATGCCGAGCCGACCTCGGCAAGGCCCGGGCACTGGTCCGGGTCAGAACTGTGGAGGCGAGAATCGAACTCGGGCAGTTTTTTTTTCCCTACCGGACGTCCTGGTAGGGGCGGTTCTCGCGGTCGCAGAACGCCTCGGCGATGCGTCCCAGCACCTCCATGCCCTCGGCGACCTCCCCGAACACGGTGTGCTGCTGCCCGTCCAGCGAGTCGAGCCCATCGATCACGGTCAGCAGGAACTGTGGGGGCACACGGGAGGCGTCGTCACGCAAGCGTGTGGGTGGGTGGGTGAGTGGGTGGGTGGGTGTTTGAGTGGGTGGGTGGGTGAGTGGGTGAGTAGGTGGGTGGATGGGTGAGTGAGTGGATGAGTAAGTGGGTGAGTAAGTGGGTGAGTAAGTGGGTGAGTGGGTGAGTGTGAGTGAGTGAGCGAGTGGGTGAGTGGGTGGTGTGAGTGAGCGAGTGGGTGAGTAAGTAGGTGAGTGAGTGAGTGAGTGAGCGAGCGAGTAAGTGAGCGAATGGGTGAGCGAGTGAGCGAGCGGATGAGGAGTCACTCACCTGTGATCCGTGTTGCCCAGAGCCATTGTCCACCATGGAGAGAGTTCCCTTCTTGCGGTGTTTGATTCTCGGAGTTTTCTCCGCATCAAAGTACCTCGCCTGGGGTCCATAGAGCTGGCTGCGGAGTTGACGCACACACAAAGACAAAGATCCCCCCTATAGCCTTCAACACTGTTGAGGCAAGTGCCGTTAGCGAGCAGGCAACGCCTACGAAGGTCGGCATGGCTCCACTAGGGGGTGGGGGGTGGCCAGCACCACGCTCGGCCGCCTTTGTCTCCCCAGTGACGATGTTTACACATCGCACCAGGTGCTCAGAGGAGGCTCAGGATCCGGTGCAGACGTTTTGTCACCGATGTTGGTCGTGAGCGGGAATCGAACCCGGGGCCGGTGGGTTCGCAGCGTAGCGCGGCGCTACCACCCCAGACTCACTCACACGAGGCCCTAAACAAGTCCGCTGTCTCTGATGTGGGCCAATCAGCTTCAAAGACAACGCAAAGTAGATATATGATCAGAGCATTCTTGATTTCGCATTAACATGCTAATTTCTCACACTAACCCTAACATCATGCTAATCTCTCACATTAACATAGCCACTTTCTTAGACCTCGTTTGCCAGTACCAAAATATAATGATAGGGGTTTTTTCCCCTTTCTTCTGGCAACAAAACTGAAACCTTTTTACAAGGATTCATGTTACTGCATTAACCACAATACTTGCAGTTAAAATGCATACAAAAAACACACTCTGATAATTATATATGCATTGTGTTTGTCTAATTGGTGTTTGAACACCGTAACACCTTCTGTTTTATTACCACAAAGGGCAAAGCCTAATCTCGCAATGGTGGCGACGTGTTAACTACCTCGCCTGGTGTGCAGGAGGTCGTGGGTTCGATCCCGACCCTGACGACGCCTGCTGCTGTATATTTGGAGTCTGCGTCTCTCTCTCATCATTATCATCACGGTGGCTAGGAGATGTTAACTACCTCGACTGGTATACAGGAGGTCGTGGGTTCTATCCCGACCCTGACGATGCCTGCTGCTGTAGATTTGGAGTCTGCGTCTCTCATCATCATCATCATCACGGTGGCTAGAAGATGTTAACTACCTCGCCTGGTACGCAGGAAGTCGTGGGTTCGATCCAGACCCTGACGATGCCTGCTGCTGTAGGTTTGGAGTTTGCGTCTCTCTCTCATCATCATCACGGTGGCTAAGAGATGTTAACTAAAGTTGATGTCTGTCTGTGTGAGTCCATATGTGTGTGTGTCGATGTGTTTCTATGTGTGTGGGTCGATGTCTGTGTGTAAGTCGATGTGTGTGTCTGTCTTTTTTGCCCGGGCAACGCCGGGTAATTACCACTAGTAACATATAAAACAAATTGTTTACAAATATATATCTTTTTATTTTTAATGATAGAATATAGTATTGTCATCAGTATGACATAAGTATACCAAGTTTGCAGTCGATACCACATTGGGAAGTGGATTAAAATTAAGTTGGAAGATTTGAGGATACAACAACAACAGAGAGAGTGAGTTAAATAAAAGCGCGTAAAATAAAAAGGGGAAACCTCTATTATCATCGTTTGAGTGAATGTAGTTATTTTTTTCATAGTTTTGATAGCACCGGCAGAAAGGTCCCCACAGATATGGAGGAGTTCTCTCTCTCTCTCTCACCTGAACACCGACTCACCGCCCCTCCCTGTGCCAGTCGGATCTCCGGTCTGCACGATGAAGTTTTTCTGAAAGATCAGAATCAGAATCTTTGTTTAGACAGCTGCAGCAGCAGGAGGAGGAGGAGGAGGAATCCGATGAGCTATGAAGCTCTGCCATAATATCGGTTAGTGCTGTACTGGTATACTACACTATACACTACTATACAATACACTACACACTACACTACACACTACACTATACACTACACTATACACTAGTGCTGTAGTAGTATACTACACTATACACTACACTATACACTAGTGGTGTACTAGTATACTACACTATACACTACACTATACACTAGTGCTGTACTAGTATACTACATTATAGACTACGCTATACACTACTCTCTGTGAGTCGATGGGTCTCTGTGTGAGTCTCTGTGCGAGTCTAAGTGTCTCTGTGTGAGTCTACGTGTCTCTGTGTGAGTCTACGTGTGAGTCTACGTGTCTCCGTTTGAGTCTAAGTGTCTCTGTGTGAGTCTCTGTGTGAGTCTCCGTGTCTCTGAGTCTCCGTGTCTCTGTGTGAGTCTCTATGTGAGTCTAAGTGTCTCTGTGCGAGTCTCTGTGTGAGTCTAAGTCTCTCTGTGTGAGTCTACGTGTCTCTGTGTGAGTCTCTGTGTGAGTCTACGTGTCTCTGTGTGAGTCTACGTGTCTCTGTGTGAGTCTAAGTGTCTCTGTGCGAGTCTCTGTGTGAGTCTAAGTCTCTCTGTGTGAGTCTACGTGTCTCTGTGTGAGTCTCCGTGTGAGTCTACGTGTCTCTCCGTGTGAGTCTTACCTGCACGCTGTGGAACAGGCAGTAGTTGTAGTACTTCACCTTGCACAGCTTGAGAAAGTTGAGACTCGCTGAGATACAAAGACGGGGGGGGGTCACAGCAGGCCGGTGTCAGTGGCCACACGGCAACAGACGACGGCTCGCGGCTTAAGACGCAGCCAGCGATTGGTCGCTCCACTGCTGGATGAAGGCCTCGGCCATATTTCACCACCAACACAGTCTATATGTGTACACTGCATCGGCAATAGGGCGCTATGGTGGCTAGGAGATGTTGACTACTTCGCTTGGTGTACGGGAGGTTGTGGGTTCCATCCCGACCCTGACGACGCCTGCTGCTGCTGCTGTAGATTTGGAGTCTGCGTCTCTCTCTCATCATCTTCATCATCACGGTGGCTAGGAAATGTTGACTACTTCGCCTGGTGTACGGGAGGTCGTGAGTTCGATCCCGACCCTGACGATGCCTGCTGCTGTAGATTTGGAGTCTGCGTCTCTCTCTCATCATCACGGTGGCTAGGAGATGTTAACTACCTCGCCTGGTGTGCAGGAGGTCGTGGGTTCGATCCCGACCCTGACGATGCCTCCTGCTGTAGATTTGGAGTTTGCGTCTCTCTCTCTCATCATCATCATCCCGGTGGCTAGGAGATGTTAACTACCTCGCCTGGTATGCAGGAGGTCGTGGGTTCGATCCCGACCCTGACGATGCCTGCTGCTGTAGATTTGGAGTCTGCGTCTCTCTTATCATCATCATCATCATCCCGGTGGCTAGGAGATGTTAACTACCTCGCCTGGTGTACAGGAGGTCGTGGGTTTGATCCCGACCCTGACGACGCCTGCTGCTGTATATTTTGAGTCTGCGTGTCTATTTCTTATATCTATGGACTGTATCTATGTGTGGACTGTATCTGTGGACTGTATCTATGGACTGTATCTAAGTGTGGACTGTATCTGTGGACTGTATCTATGGACTGTATCTATGGACTGTATCTGTGGACTGTATCTGTGGACTGTATCTGTGGACTGTATCTATGGACTGTATCTATGGACTGTATCTGTGGACTGTATCTGTGGACTGTATATGTGGACTGTATCTATGGACTGTATCTATGTGTGGACTGTATCTATGGACTGTATCTATGTGTGGACTGTATCTATGGACTGTATCTATGTGTGGACTGTATCTATGGACTGTATATATCTGTGGACTGTATCTATGGACTGTATCTGTGGACTGTATCTATGTGTGGACTGTATCTGTGGACTGTACCTGTGGACTGTATCTGTGGACTGTATCTATCTATGGACTGTATCTGTGGACTGTATCTATGGACTGTATCTGTGGACTGTATCTGTGGACTGTATCTATGGACTGTACCTGTGGACTGTATCTGTGGACTGTATCTATCTATGGACTGTACCTGTGGACTGTATCTGTGGACTGTATCTATCTATGGACTGTATCTATGGACTGTATCTGTGGACTCACTGCGGGGCCGTTCCTTGGTGTACAAATCCACCACCACGTCTCCCAGCGTCGTCTCCAGAATCACGGACATCTTCACTCCGACCTCCTCAACGTCCCACCAACGTCCACCCAACGTCCACCCAACGCAACCTCCAGCAGCGTCTACGGCGACGGAAGTTCGTCAGCAAACATCAAAACAATGCGCATTGTCGGAGTCTCCCACTCACCACCACCACCATTCACCACCACCACTCACCACCACTCACCACTCACTCAGCCCTCACCACCACTCAGCCCTCACCACCACCACACTCAGCCCTCCCACTCACCACAACCACTCACTCACTCAGCCCTCACCACTCACCACCACCACTCACCACCACCACTCACCACCACCACCACTCACTGAGCCCTCACACTCACCACCACTCACCACCACCACTCACTCAGCCCTCCCACTCACCACCACTCACCACCACCACCACTCACTCAGCCCTCACCACCACCACTCACCACCACCACCACCACTCACTCAGCCCTATACCACCACTCACAACCACCACCACCACTCACTCACTCAGCCCCCACTCACCACCACCACTCAATCAGCCCTCACCACCACCACTCACCACCACCACTCACTCAGCCCTCACCACCACCACTCACCACCACCACTCACTTACTCAGCCCTCACCACCACCACTCACCACCACCACTCACTCACTCAGCCCTCACCACCACTCACCCACACGCGCTCAGCACCCCCCACTCACCCCTCAGCACCACCGCCGCCACCACCACCAGGCGTACAGGGCGAACAGCTTCCGAGTTCACGCGGTGACCCCCACCGGCTCCCCCCCTCGCCCCTCCCCCCTCGCCCCTCGCCCCTCCCCCCCTCCCCCCCTCGCCCCTCCCCCCCTCGCCCCTCCCCCCTCGCCCCTCCCCCCCTCGCCCCTTCCCCCTCGCCCCTCCCCCCCTCGCCCCTCCCCCTCCCCCTCCTCCCCGCCCCCTCCTCGCCCCTCCCTCCTCGCCCCTCCCCCCCTCCCCCCTCGCCCCTCCCTCGCCCCCTCCCCCCTCTCGCCCCTCCTACCCCCTCCTCCCCGCCCCCTCCTCGCCCCTCCCCCCCTCGCCCCTCCTACCCCCTCCCAGCCCCTCCCCCTCCCCGCCCCTCCCCCTCCTCACTCCGCTCCCCTCCCTCCTGCTGCTGCTGCGTCTCTGTCCGCATCTTGCCGCTAGCGGAGCGCGCGCAATCAGCAGCAGCATCAGCATTATCATCAGCATCATCAGCGTCGTCATCAGCAGCATCATCAGCAGCAGCATCATCAGCAGCAACATCATCAGCAGCAGTATCATCAGCAGCATCAGTATCAGCATTATCATCATCAGCAGTATCATCATCAGCAGCAGCATCAGCATCATCAACATCATCATCAGCAGCAGCATCAGCAGCATCATCAACATCATCAGCAGCATCATCATCAACATCATCATCAGCATCATCACCACCATCAGCATCATCTACATCATCAGCAACATCATCAGCATCATCAGTATCATCATCAGCATCATCAGTATCATCATCAGCAACATCATCAGCATCATCAGTATCATCATCAGCAACATCATCAACATCATCAGTATCATCATCAACATCATCATCAGCATCATCACCACCATCAGCATCATCTACATCATCAGCAACATCATCAGCATCATCAGTATCATCATCAGCAACATCATCAGCAGCAGTTCCAGTTTCATTGATGAGGAACAGCCCACGTCATGGGACCTCCTTTGCCAGTACCGACATACGAGAGGAGGTTTTCACCTAAATCTTGACTTGAAGCTTTCGTGACTGCAGGAATTGACATTCTTTGGGTCTTTCGGTAAAGGAGTTTTTGGTAAAAAAAATTATATAGAGAATAAAAAAAACGACTAGTTTTTATCTTCTTGTTTCTTTCGGTAAAGTCACGTAGAAGGGAAGTAATAAAATAATAAAAATAAAACATAATAAAACAATTCTCACGACGTTTCGGCTGCTTGCGTTGTAGCCGAAACGTCGTGAGAATTGTTTTATTATGTTTTATTTTTATTATTTTATTACTTCCCTTCTACGTGACTTTACCGAAAGAAACAAGAAGATGAATCCCTGCAGTCACGAAAGCTTTAAATCGAAAGACTAGTTTTTATTTTGATTTAAAGCTTTCGTGACTGCAGGGATTCATATTCTTGGTACTTTCGGTAAAGTCACGTAGAAGGGAAATAAAAACATAATAAAAATATTAAACAATAAAAATTCTCACGACGTTTCGACTGCAACACAAGCAATCATCATCAGGTGTGAAATCCACAGCAAGAACATTTGAAAAAAGTGGCGGTTTTTTTCTGTTAACAGTAAAAATATAGGTACAAAAACAAGCTTTTCAATGCACACACTTTTAGTTGTACTCAAAATTATAAAATACATACTTTTGACCCCAAAATTTATAAAATTTTACTTGCTCTATAAAAACGGGTGGCTTCCTTTCGATGTGTTTAATTTTCTTCATGCAAGCCCCCCACTTGTATTAAGCATGTTAAATTTGATTAATTCTGGGATAAAAATGTTTTCCTACTTTTGAGTGCAAATAAAAGTGTGTGCATTGAAAAGTTTGTTACATACCAATTTTTTACCATGATTAATGTCGGCTTTGGGGACAGTCTACGAGTTGTTGATTTGTCAAAAATGTCAGGTGCGTGGTTAATCCGCAAATCGGATAAACTACACGCCAATAATCGAGAGTTGACTGTATTGTGTATTTTACGTAGCATTAAGGTTGACAACTTGAATGGCCCGTGAAATATAAACTTTCACGTGTGATTACTCTCTGGTTCTTTCGGTAAAGTCACGTACGTATAAAATACAATTAAATTACGACGTTTCGATTGCAACACAAGCAATCATCATCAGGTGGAAAAACCACAGCAAGAAAAAAAAAAATTTCTGAAGGGGGAGAGAGATGCCGTAGTAAGAGGTTATATAGGTAAAGAGGGGGAGGGGCAAGGTAGGGGGAGGGTAGGAGGAGGGGAGCGTTGTGTGGACGCTAGGAGACCAAGGTGCTCTGCAAACCTTCGGGCTGCTATCAAATGTTTGTTCATGAAGCCATCCAGATATAACACATTCCTGCGGAGGGAGCTGGTAAGAACGTTGGGTTGCTCGGTCAATGGCCTGCAGGGTCAACGGCAGCGTGGTGTATTCCGCAAATATGCCCGACTGTGAGGGCGGGCACAAGCCGGCGTGAGTAGGTTAAACGTTGAGTTTTATAAGGGCACCACGGGGTGACCAGCCCCTCCCCACCCAGCCCCTCCCCACCCTCCCCACCCAGCCCCTCCCGACCCTCCCCTCTCCACCCAGCCCCACTCCTCCCATTTTTGGATGCACGACGGACGGACAGAATAATCCCCTGTGGGCTGGTGTAACCAGGAGGTTCCTACCAGTATAATGTTTGCATGGTGTACAGTCTGGAAAGTACCCCACGTGGCAAATTTCAAGTTTGTTGCATGTCGGGAAGTACGCTAAACATTTTGAACAGACACATATTCACAAATTTCCCTTTTATATATATGGAGATTATAATATAGATAATATTGGTCGCGAAAGCCTTCGTGTTAAACTGTGAGAGTGTTCGCTCAATACACGGTCAGCATCGCAGGTCTTGACGACAGAGGGCAGACGAATCACTCTGGTGAACCGTGATTCGGTTACTTAATAACTCCTTGGGGGCGGTCCATAAATGACGTCACGCACATAGGGGGGGGGGTCAGACATTTGTGACGATGAGTGACGAGGGGGGGGGGGTGTTTGAGAATGTGACGTCACATCAAAATGCGCAACTTTAAATAAATATAGAAAACGCGTTCTACTTAATTAAATAGACTTTTTAATAAATGTTTTCTCCTACAACATCAGAGTGCAGCGCCACATTAAATACGCACTACAATAACTACAAAATCGTCCAAAATCGCGTGACGTCATTTATGGACGGCCCCTTGGTATCATCGCAAACCAGTTTCAAACAAGGATTAGCAACAATAAAACTATAAAAAAACGAATACACTGATATTTTATTTAGTTGTATCAGGTTAGCTATATAGCCGATATGATAGCTCAAGGATGTGGCTTATCATGCGGAAGTTTCGAGCAGCAGCCAAATACTCTAAACACGTGCCGTTGATTCAAAATGTAGAGGGAAAAACTGGAGGGCCCGGAGAAAAATCCAGGCGACCAAGGAGATAGAGAGACACACACAAACTCAAAATATATAGCAGACATCAGGGTCGAAACCACGACCTCCTGCATATGGGGCCAGGGAGTTCAAATCTCATAGCCACCACTGCAGCATACAGAGGCCGCGTGGATTTGTGGAAGAAGTAAAAATAAATAATATTTTTAAAACGTTTTTAAAAAGACGCTTTAATAAACTGCACCGTACGAGTAATGGCAGAACTCCACGACTCCAGGAAGCGGCCCCGAAGCTTGCCAAAATGTAAGGGAGCGTGGCGAATTACAGCCGTGAATTTACCGTGGACAATTAGACCCAAGCCGAAATATAACATATACAAAAGAATGTTTTCAAATATATAATTTCTATTTTGTATGATAGAATATAGTATTGTCATCAGCATGACATAAGTATACCAAGTTTGCAGTGGATACCACATTGGCAAGTGGGTAAAAATCGAGTTACAAGATTTGAGGATACGACAACAACGACAACAACAACAGACGGAGTGAGTTAAATAAAAGCGTGTAAAAAAAGTGTGATAGCCGCTTCTATTGTTGTCTGTCTGGTCCTCGCTTTGGTGGCTGCTGACCGCAGCAGATCATCTCCTGCGACAGTCGTCCGTGCTGGGCCTCTCTGCCACCATTAAGAGCCCCGTGGTTTTGTGGCTGCAGGCACCGGCCCTCCTTGGGTTGAACTCTGCCCATGCTTGCCTGGCCCTGCCCTGCCTCCTGGGGCTTCTTGGCCCTAGTGTCCACCATCCCCTGTTCTACTTTGCACCCTGGCCCCACGTTGCCTAGCGGCCTCCACAGCCCTTAGGCAGCACTCTGAACACCTTCAGTGGCCTCCTTCTCGGGCTGCACTAGCTCATGTAAGATCATATATGCACGGGGTGCCACGGTGGCTAGGAGATGTTAACTACCTAACCTGGTATACAGGAGGTCGTGGGTTTGATCCCGACCCTGACGATGCCTGCTGTGTTTTTGTAGTCTGCGTCTCTCTCTCTCTCCATGGTCGCGTGGATTTATCTCCAGGTCCTCAGGTTTTTCCCTCCACATTTACAATCAATGTCTCACATTTACAGTATTTGGCTGTTGCTATATATTTACACGTGATGATGTAGCTCAGTGGGCCTTAGCTGGTAAAATAAAACTTTTAGTTTAGGTGGAGCGATGGAATGAGTTCATCTTACAGGTGCAACGTAGATTGCTTTGAGGGATGACTGTAATGATGACCTGCGAACCCCATAGTCCAGCAGTGGATAGATGATGACTCGTGATGATGACTACTTATAGTGGTTGTGCGATGATGGAGAGGTGCCTGGTGTGGATGTCGTGAATGGTGATCGCGTGAAATTTTCTCCAGGCCCTCCGGTTTTTCCCCACCACGTTAGAATCAGCATCCCACGTTTAGAGTATTTGGCTGCTGCTATACATTTCCACATGATCATAATGATGATGATATCAGCCACTTCGTTGAGATTATCATTTGTGATAGCCAGGTCGCTTCTGAAAAAGAGCTGCTACATAGCAGCTCAGAGGGGCCTTACCTGGTAAAATAAAAAATAAAAGTTTAAATGCTAGCATCACATGCTCGGCGTT